GCTATAGGAAAATACACTACGAGATTCCGCGAAGCTGACTGATAAATAAATATAGGCATGTGATGATTTTAACGGAGAAAACTTTCGGACTAGCGGGAAACTTTTCCATTGGTTTGATAAAAACCACAGGACAATGTAACGAAACAGACAATAATAAACTTACAAAATATGCACTAATATAATATATATAAAATAAGCTAAATGAAGCCATATTACACAGGAAAAAAGTCAGCAAGTTTTGTATATCATTCTTCATAAAATAACTTAAATTAAACTCATGTGCTGCTGACTAAATCTCACACCTGAACCGCAAGCAATCCATTGCCTGTAATCATTAGTTCAGTTTATTATAGTCGTACATCCAGACTATTTTGACATTATACCAGGTTGTTTCTTTTTTATAAGGACAGAACTGCACAGTCAAGAATAGGAGAAGATTGTCTTCCTACTGACTTCAAATGTACCTACGATAAGAAATGTATATTCGGCGAATGGGAGTGTGATGGAATGCTCGATTGTAAGGATGAAACGGACGAAAAAGATTGCTTTGAGTGCGTTCATGGTATGATGATAAAATTACAAATATGAACAACTTGATTGAACTGTCGTATTCGGCGGAAACCTTAACACCTCTATTGTTGCCCTTAATAAACATTTATGTCTAGTGTATTGTGTCTCTATTCGTTGATGATTCAGTAAATAATGTTTTAACATTCCACCTAACTGAACTAGCCAAAGAACTTGTTTTTAGGGTGCACAGGGTGACATTTGTCTCACAATATTTTGGTGTCTCTTTTTTACGTGGTTTGGTCTTGTTTTAAAGAAATCCCTTGGAAGCCGTTACGTACTAACCGCTTTGCGAGAAATTGTTGTTGTGAACTTGTGAAAAAATATTTACTCTTGATGAAATATGCTTCGTTTAGATTTTCAGTCGTTTTTGCTTCCGCCTGAGCGTGTCTGCGATGGCATCCCTGATTGTGTGAAAGGTGAAGATGAACATGGATGCAGTAAGCATGCCCATTTTTAGCCGTTATACAGCATTTTTGCATCTTTCGAAAACCAATGTGACTGATTGATATGCTTATAAATGAGATGGAAGTTTTAAAAATTGAAAAATGAGCTGTTACAGCAAAGCGTGCAATTTGATCATGTATCACTGAGTGTGTTATGCCTTCGTGCAAATCAAAGTCGAGAACAACTTGTGAAACATACAAAATTTTAATCATACATTTTCTTATATATATATATTTAGATATATTTTTTTTAGATATATATTTTGTATTTGTAGAAACACCCTGTGATTTCACAGAATTTCAATGCGAAAAACAGAATCCTCACTCGAAATGTATTCCCGAAGAATGGACATGTGATGGGTTCCCAGATTGTCCAGATTTTGAAGACGAAGTAGTTGAAGTGTGCGGAGAGAGTGAGTATCTTCAAAGAGAATAAGTAATGCGTAATTTACTCTCTATCTAAAAAGTACTCCCGTAGTATGCGAACCAAGATGGCGGACACCGGAACGTATAGTATGTGTACCAGGTTAGGGTTAGGCCATAATTTTATTCCAAATTTTTTTTTTTTAGTTTTATTATGAGTTTGGGGACTAGTCAGGTGACTCCCGTAGTATTTGTATCTGAAATTACGGCCTAACCCTAACCTGGTACATATACTACGTTCCGGTGTCCGCCATCTTGGTTCACATACTACGGGAGTACCATCTAAAATGTGATAGATGTTTTCTTCTCGGTGGGTCCGCTGCTTTAAAATTTATATTTGACTTTCATTTCCATTTTCTAGTTGAGGATCGTTGCGGGAACGAAGACTTTACTTGTTACCATCAACAATTTTGTATACCTATGGTATGGTTGTGCGATGATGCTGATGACTGTGGCGATCATTCTGATGAAGGAAATGATTATTGTGGTGAGTTAAAGTATACTTTGTATCTAATACTTCGTCAAGCAAGTCGCATATGAATCAAATAGTAGGCATACAACGCCAACTTTTTATTTCTGATTTATAGGAACGTTACTGAGATATAAATGTCATTCTGTTTCAACATTTATATATGTTATTAGATTATAATAGTAGAAACGCAGGAGATGAAAGTCAAGGCGTCAACTCATTTTCTTGGTCGAAGTGGAGTGAATGGTCATCTTGCAGCTCACATTGTGATGGAGAACAGATACGTACAAGAAGGTTTGGGAGCATAGACAATTTTTATCGCTGTAGCAAAATTCTGTTGGCCGTTTATATTTCTTTGTTTTCAGAACCCTATTGTTTTCCATTCTATTGCAGATGTTCGTCTGGAAATTGTAGGGGAGATCGAACAGAGATAAAAGCTTGCGGAGAAGCATATCCTTGCATGCAGGAACCTTCGTCTGGATGTGGTACCAGAGTTTTTGATTTGCCTATGGGAAGAATTCTTGGTGGCAGAGACGCTCAAGTACACGAATGGCCATGGCAGGTAGGTTCATCTCCGATCTTATGTTTGTTTGGGTTTATCATATAACTCTTCATACTACCCGTTTTATAAAAATAGAATGGTAATTTATTATGCACAACGGTTATACCGTATGGAATTGAGTGTGGAATGATAAACTTCATCACAATTTTAGTGACATATAATTTCGTTGAAAACCCGGAGAGGAAAACAAGCATTCCCGTTTGTCTTGCTATCCATTTATCATTTGCTAGCGCACCACAAACGGTCGATACTAGAATATGGTTTTCAACTGATATATATGTCATTTGTGTGTTGAAACTATTCCGATTAGTCGTATGGTATCAACCAATGTGAAAGAATACATTGCTCGTTGCGTAGCTGATCAATTTTGTAATAATATTCAACAGGTTCAGATTTTTCGTCCAGGAAAGACTATTCCTTTTTGTGGTGGATCACTTATACGACGAAATTGGATCCTAACTGCTGCACACTGCTTCAACAATTAGTATGTCACGTTTTTTATGTTATATGTTTAGTTTTTTCTCATTTTCTCCGAGCAATTTAATGATAAATGACCTGCTGTAAAAACTTCATTGAATACACCAAGTGCTACTACAAAAAAGCTCTCCAAATTTTCCAGTCGATACGAGGCCAGTAAATACACAATAGCTCTGGGACGCCAACACACCTCCAGGAGGATAGAGGATGATGACGCCGTACTTATACCTGGAAGGAAATTAATAATTCATGAAGCATACACACGTTCAAGTCACAGAGACGACATAGCTTTGATACAGCTTGAAAAAAATGTGCCAGTAAGTGTGTGTATATATGATAAATAAATCTCAATAAATAAACGTTCCTTCCACACTTCCATTGAAAATTACTTAACGGTATAAGGCTATGTCTTGGAAAATCTCGATAAATATTAAAAAAAAGTAACCATTTGTAGAAAGCATGGTTGGAAGGCAGAGCAATAATATTTTAATCGGGTCCGTCCGTTGATGAAGAGAGAACTAACAATTGATATTTTTTACCCATTTTAAGTTGCCATTGTCAAAACATTCAAGTCTTGATTTTCGACTAAGTAAATAGGGCTCAAGTCTGTTGCGTTTATAGTAGACTTGATGAGTTTATTAACACCAACTGAACAAATTCACGGATACTTTTTTTTTCGATTTATAGGAATCTCCAGGTATAAATACTGTCTGTCTACCAGAAGCTGGAAGTGACTGGCTACAACACGATCCAAGCGAGCCACCAGAATGTTACGTGACAGGATTCGGTATCAACGAAATAGGTATATCGTTTTGCAAAAATTGTAATGATTTTTTGATGCTAAGGAACTTATCGTTCATTGTTGGACACGGACAGGCGGCCCTCAAGAATTATTTTGCTAAATTCTTGTTGTTGTGATTCTCCGCGGCCAATGAACTATCGATTTTGTAATTTTCTACTTAAGGATGCTTGAGGCCGCTTCAAGACCAATAGCAATTATCTCAGTTCTGTGTAACTCAAATTTCACCTAAAATTTTGTTGTTATATATATTTTAATTCGTGGCGACACTTCCGTCACACTAGTGCTGGTCGGTCTGTCGATCTACGGTATCAATGCGCGGTCTTTTTAGAATAATTAGGCATCGTTCTCTTATTTTAGGCAAAAGGCCAGCTGTTCTACAAACCGCTCATGTGTATCTCATTAAACATGAAGTTTGTTCTACTGCACACATTTATGGAAGTCGCGTTACAAGAAACATGATTTGTGCGGGCCATCTTGAAGGAGGCATTGACGCGTGTCAGGTACAAATTGTCTGGTTTTCAGATAATTTTAATGTCGCTTTACAGCCAACTGCGTAGTCTTCGTGGATATGTAAAGATAGCTTTATACATGCTTGTACTGATTAACAGATAAATTATGTGGGAAAAATGAAAGAAAAAATAACTACATGTCTAGCAGTGATACTTCCAATGCCACCCCAATGCCATTGAACTGTTAAGTTATTTTGTTTCCGTAACATTACTTTGAAATGCATTCGATTCAGGGTGACAGTGGCGGGCCTCTAGTTTGTCAGCATCCACAAGATGGTATGTGGATAGTAGTTGGTTTGACGAGCTGGGGAAAAGGATGTGGACTCCCGAACAGACCCGGAGTATATACCAGAATATCAAAATACATTGATTGGATTGATATGCATATAAAAGAAAAGACTAGATGAAAGGATTCAGACTAATAATTTTTGTTTTGGGCATTGTGTTCCTCTGTTGTATTATTATAAGTTATTTGAGTATTCTTTTTGTATTCGGTACGTTACATACATATATGACAAACAATCACATCTCTCACAGGCAGATAAATTTATTCATTTGATAAGAAAAATTTCGATAAATGAAAAATATACAATAAATGCAATTCGTATATTGAAAAAGGTTGAATGGTGGGGGTGCCGTGTGACTACGGTTCATAGTGTACTTGCATCGCCAAGACCAAGCAGGATATTACGGGAAGCGAATACGAACCACCACGTCATAGGAACGAAAACACTTCATTGATTCAGTTGTCAGCTGTAGTCATTCTTGTTGGCTTGTTACAATACTATGCGAAGTTTATGTTACCCAAATCGGTGTCCAGGTCATACCGTGACTGCAACCCCTCGAGGTATGTGCGCCATATTGGAATTCTCAGCATGGTTTTACCTAACAATATGTAATAGCGCATGTATGTAGCACAGTGGTGCATGATGTAAATGCCAAGTAGACGCATTGACTTAAACGCGTATGAATATTTTTTATAGTTGGTGTGGAGCGGAAGTCGCATGTTTGCACTTCATATGGGGCGGTGTGACACCTTTTGACTTGTCTATAAGTAAAGTCTTCATGAGTGTAATTTAAACTGGTGGCTGCGTCACTGGTGCTGTTTTGTTGATCTTCAGCTTCAGGTTTGAATTTCGCCGAACATTTTGTAACAAACCGACCATGTTGGCGCGAACGTTCCCACGGATCCTAGAAAAAATAGAAGTTTTTGAGAAGCCATAATACAGCATTACATTGCCTCAATATTTGGGCACAAAGTGCGTTTTGCTGGATTGTTGTTGCTGATGCGAAATTGATCGTGCAGAACGAATCATAAATTTTTTCCTTCACCTTTATATCTTTAAAATTTATTACAACACCAATTTTAACAGACATAATATATATATTATATATAGATTTATAAGTCAATTGTTCTGATTACAGTCGAAAATCCTCAAGACAAATCTCACACACATTTTTTATGGGTGTAGTTTATACGCCATGTTTATAGACGTTTCGATGTTTCGATTTGTAGCGGTGAATATGATATTTTTTATTTTGAAATTAAGCAGTAAGGTTGCAGTTTGACTGAGACAAAGCCTATGGCATCCATTGATGTAATGCATAACCCCCAGTGGTGTGGTCAATCTTTATTTTTATTTTCAGTGGTCGAAATTTAAGGTCCTAAATGAGGTTAAGGGCAAAACTCGGGGATAATGAAAACAAAAAAAAACGAAACAAGAGACTCTGTATCTTTTTATTATTTAAGTTATCGAAACGGCAGAACTCGGACACAAAAACGGTGGACTTACCCTGCATTTTTGATTGCTTCGGCTCTTTTTGCTTCTGCAGCCTGTGGGTATTTATATATATATACAATAACATGACAAAATCTCCAAGCAGACATGAAAACATAAGCAAATCGTGTACGGAAGGTAAATTATGTTATTGTTCATTTAATGGGGATATACACATTAGTGCCACTTATACTGAAATATATTATAATTCGTTGTGGGAATTCAATTTTCCAGTTCAATTCTTATTAGAAATAGTAAGGGATATTAAGCGGTGTAGGTTGGAAATTTAACGTAATTTTACTGCGCTAGATTTTTCTACTATCGAAGTTTTTATATGCTTATGTTTATTGATATTTGAAAAGAAGAAATTTAAAGTAACTAACCGCTTCTTCCGCTTCACGTTCCTTTCTCTCCTTTTTTTCTCTCTTCTTTTTTCTGTATTTTTTCACTTGACCAAAGCATATAACTGCGCCAACGATACCAAGAATGGCAGCAAGAGGTATTGTAATTGCAATGGTTACGACTGTAACATCGATTCCTGCAACGCTGGGTTGAGGCTGTAACGATAGAGATGGGCGTTGAAAAGCATGACTGATACCATAGTTGTCTGAGTGTCACAAGTGTTAGCTAAATCTAAAATTATTATTTCGAATATACTTACTAATTCTGGCTCTGGTGGACAATCAACCAACCTCCGATGGTTGTGAATAATGTTTGATACAATATTGCTAGGCTCACTGCGTAAACCTCCTTCGTCAACAGCAACAATGCCCCAAGCCTGAAAATACGGAAACAACTTTTCTAATAGTGTCAGATTTTTGCCCTACAACAAATCAGATGCGACATGATTGAAAATTTTGAATAAAATCCTAGCAAGTATATTTGATTCCAGATAATTCTCGTAATAGATTATTAGTACCAGTATTGATATGTGCTGTTCTTAGCAATTTATCCGTTATAGTTATTTATAAAATTCTTTAATGAGAAGTTATTATTACTACTTTCATTAAAAAAATTGTTTTTTAATTTCGATAGGATCTGACCTGATATTCATCATTTCTTGCATAACACAGCTGAGATGCGACTTCACGATACGTTTCATTCAAGTTTTTCCACGTTGAAGCAAATATTGCATTTTCACATGGCGGATCTGAAACTACGGCGCGAACGTCACTGTTGAAAAATAAATATTTTACCTACCAACTCAAAACAGCAGCTGTAGATCAAAAGTATAAAAATACTGATTTCGATTTTCTAAATGCTTGGCTTATAGATGAAGGAATCAACTCAATGAAAATGGCGCAAGTTGATGAACTAAACGCAGCACTGCAGTTTTAAAATGGAACAAACATGCAAGAGATCAGTTACCTATGGTGGATACTGTATAAAGATTTATCTCAATATTTTAATTTGAGTCATATATGCACCAATTCTTCTCCTTGATAAATTGATTTTCGAAATCTCCCCACATTGCTCCGCAGAACGTCATGTCATGTCGCGCAAGGTGTTCGTGACTGCTTGTGCGGTCGCTGGATTAACTAACATCACTCACCGGCAAAACCGACTCTAAATAACTTCATCAAGTACATTTAGCTTTGACTGTAATTCTTGCGCAATTTATTACACTGCAAACCTAAAAATGATTAAAATTATCATTGCAGATGTACAAAAATTACCTTTCATTTGCAATTCCAACACCAACGATAATTTTGAACATATCAGTGGTGTTTTCATATGTTATCAACTCTTCCATATCTTCTTCCGTCAATATAGATAATAAAATTTTTGGTGTGATCGATCTTCCCCTTGATTTCATATCTTCTAATATTTTTACAGTGTCATCTGAAATAAACAGGGTTAGATATTTAAAAAGATAGACTGGGTTAGATACTTAGAAAGTATATCGAATGGAAACAAGGTTAGATATTCAGAAGGGTAAACAGGGTTAGATATTTAGAAAGTATATCGAATGGAAACAATGAACGATCTTTAGTTACGGTAAAGCACAGAAACATGTGCTTCACTCGTTGGTATATTACGGCTTTGTCCATTGCAAGCAATATATATGTTTTTACTTACGGTATCTGACTTCCTGTCTGAGTCTGTTGTCTTGTTCTAATCCCTGCCTAATACTGTTCAGAACTTCATTGGCACTAGTAGAATCACGCAGAAGAACTCTCCCAAGTTGATCTTGTATAGCAACAACGCTCACTTGTACTTCATATGTACCTGTCGGACAAATTATTTATTAATTCCCATTAAATTCACTTAAAGCAAAAAGCTCAAGTAAAAGAAATCAATCTGAGTTGGACGAGGTTCAGCCCGAAGATATTTTTCAAGTGTAGAAATTTTCACATTCATGGGGTTCACTGTCTTAGGCTTAATAATCATGGTAGGTGCAAGTCTTAATTTAAGTCTTTACTTACTGATTTTGAAGATGGAAAATAAAGTCCTGAATAAACCCAAAGTTGATTCTTTTTCGATTCGTGATGTGGAGCTCGGAGAAAGTACTCGGCGAGGTAGGAGAATTATTAGGTCCAGTGCAGCATGTGGTGGGCAACCTGATTGAAGGAAAAAAATAATTTTGTTTCATCGACATGCGACATTAATGATTTTTCAATTTAAAATTTTCAATGTGTGTCAAATATTTATAAAGAATAAATTTTTAAAGTAATGCGTCACCTTTACGTTAGAAATATATTAAAGACAAACAAAACTTCATATTTCTGATGTGATCATATGTGTTTTCGTTGATAATCTCTTTCATACTCCCATTTTTTTTAGTTATCGATTAAGTAAATTACAATTAAACAAGACATTATAGAAATTAAGTTTACCATCTTGATATAAAAAAAATTCCAACCTGTAATTTCTGTTAAATTGACGACTAATTCTTCACGTTCTCCCGAGATTTTGGCAACATCGACACTTCCATTTAATATTGCAGCGAAGCTCAATAGTTCACCGTCTTTGAAATTCCTTGCAAGCTTTCGAGCTCGCTTCGTTCTAAGATTGCGTATTTCATACTCTTTCGCTGAATGTAAAGAAGAAGAATGTTGACAGAATTACATATCTATACTTGTTCCGCATTTTAAATCACACGACAATCTGCTTCGAGATTTAGAAATAGCTGTATTCTATACAAGTGAAAGTGAAACGGGACTAACATTTCTAATGTATGCTTTAGGTTAATCTAGCTGTTGTTGCCCGTGCCCGGAAAATTCACCGCAGAAAATTTCGTCGCAGGGTTACGGTATGCTTTTAAATAACGAATCTTTTTTAAATAAAAAGAAACTTCAAAAACTGTTTTTATCACAAATACTTGTTTTACAGCAAAATACTCTTTGGCGATTTTTCCTATCCGGCGAAATTTTCTGCGGGGAAGATTTCCTACGGCGAATTTTTCAAGAACCGTTGTTGACTAAGGTCATTAAACTTGCTACTATGGAGTAAAATGGTGGCTTCATCTTGATACCTCATTATAACGTTTAGTTTAAGATTGAAATTGGCAACTGAGTCTCCCAATGGTCAAAACTAGATTACAAAAATATATTATAACGTACCTCTTCCATTAGTCTTGTCATCGCCTGTGGCCGTCCATACAAGTCGAACAATATTGAGATCTTCAGTAACTTTGACTTTCAAATCAGTGATGCGTGAAGGTTCAAAAAGATCGATCTCTGGAATGATAAAGATTTGGTTGGTTTCTTTTTCTAAACTGCGAATGGACAACCCAAATATATATATAATTTCTTATCTTGGAATAAACCGTTCAACTTCTCAAAGTCTTAAATTAAATATTACACATACGAAAACATGCGAATGCTGCAATGAAGAAGAACAATTGTTTGAGTTAAAACTTTTATGAGCAATTCAACCCATATCCGTATATTGTGTGAGTGCTGCCTTCGCATGCATTTTTTGCTTTGAAGTTATCGAGATTTTCTTTGTGAATTAGCTTCATACTCTCTAAGATTTAATATTGTTTTAATAAAGTATATTTGTTCGCAATAATTGAGCAAAGCATGTGCTGAGATATGGATAACCCACCAAGCCGCTGTTTCATAAATGTTTTTTAGTTTGGTTGATGTGTTATGCATCAAACAAGTCAATATAATACAATAAACCATTTATATTTTCATATTCATACTTGGTCTTTCACAAAAGAAAGCCTTGTCCCTGTTGCAAACTTCATCGCCTGACGTTTCAACTACTTTACCATCGTTAAACCATGAGCATTCTGGATCCTGTTCTCCACTTCCAAAGTAGTCTTTTTGCTAAATTCAATGAGTTTTTAGTGATAAAGTTGTTGGTATTTTTATTCGTTCGATTTAAATTACAGCGGTGTGCATTTCAAGTAACACACTCTGTGTTTTCATTTATCTGTTTCAAAATTATTGTTCATTTCAGCAATAGTTACGAATGAACATACAAACAAGACATACAGTAAATAATATAATTGAGTTTTTTTGATAAAAAAATACCACTAGCAATTCATTTAAAAATAAAAAAGTTTTCATCAACTAAAATTAATTACATCTGGGTATTTCTTTGCAAGTGCGAGTGTTGCATTTTCAGTGGATGTTGCTATCGTTGTAAATACGCCTGTTGATGGTTCGCTAGAATCACCACTTGATGATGGTGGAGTTCCAGCTTGTCGTCGATTCCTCGAACTTACAGTCTAAACGCAGAATATAGTTAAATTCCCCGCAGACAACAAAGTGAATGTGGCTATGATTTGTCTGGTGAATGGTATCAGAAAAAGAGCAAAATATTAACACCAAAATGTAGCACTAATATGTATATATATATAAATATATATTTTATGATAGCCAATATTATTCCTGACGTTATATTAGAAAAAGTAAAAAGTCTTTTTCATGACAGTTCAAGTTGTAATACATATTCAGCTCCCCTGTTGCATTATAAGCATAAGCACGGAGTGGTTATCTGGGTGCCACTACCAAAGTTGTTCACTAGGTAACATTTGCTCTGACTCCATTAATTTGAAGGCAATTCACATTGATTCTTTTATTGTAATAAATGTATTCATTCGCGTTAACCTGTTTTGTTTTCGTATTATTGAATGTAGCACATAGAACGACTGATTTTTATAGAAAACATATGGCCACATGTCTCGCGAGTCTTTCGAAGGCCATTCAGATCATGAAAGTTTGAGAAACCCATGGACATTCGTAGTGTAAAAATTTAATATTTGAGATTGGAATATTCCATTTAATTCAAAAATCGTAGGTCAGTCAGTTTTGTCAGTTTAATTAGCAACTTAAATAGTATCCTCACTGTTGTCATGTGTTGTGTAGTACGAGTGCGCATACTTGCTGTCGTCAACATATCTTGGACATTTTGTAGTCTCAGTAATTTTGCTTCTTTCAGTAAAGGAATGTCAGATTCTGATGTTCCTCCCAGTACTCGAATAATCCTTTAAATGTATAAATAAACTATACAAGTCGAGCACATAGCATTATAAATCTAAGAATTGATAAAAATGACAGAAAAAAATGGAAATTACTACTACTGAGCCATTTGGATCACGTATGATCTGAAAAAGGGCTACATACAAAAACTAAACACTAATATTCAGGGAGTTACTTTTTGTGGAAGGACTTTGATGTTTCCTGTTAAGAATAGCTCACTCAATTTATTACATCCTAATAATGGGGTGTAAATAGGGATTGTAACTGATATTTTGAATCTGCGAGTTTACCACTGATGCGTCGACAACATTATTTTACTTTGATTGTAATTTGAAAATGTTATTGATAAAAGTTACTTTCACTTCTTTCATACTTGTTAATCTCTTTTCTGCTTAATCCAGCTAAATCTGGTTCAAATGATTCAATTATTTTTCTGGTATCTTCATTGAGGTAAATTTCGTTGAATAAATTTGCCAATACGACTAGATCTTCATCTTCGTGTCCTCTTTTAATGCGTTTTGTTACAAACTCAACTGATATGTCATCTCTGTTCAGCGACTGTAGAAGTAAATAAAAGCATGCAGGATAAAAAATAAATAAATGCATAAAAATACGAAGCATATTTTGTTGTTTTATAAATTATAACCCACTTGATGAATTCCTCCGAACCATGTATCTTTTTTTCCAATGGTGTCCATTATATATAAAAGTTCTTGATTTGAATTCACGTGTGCGAGGTATCCGCCGTCATTTGCACAAAATTTCGATGCATCAGTGAATGATGCCATTGGAGTTCGGACAAACTTATAGCAACTGTCTTGAAAGTGGTAATATCTGAATATATTAAATATTATAAAATAGAATAATTTTTTTTTCAAGGTATTCTTGTGAGTTGCCATACTTTTATGGCTGCTTCGGTATGTATGCTTATTGTATTGATTCGATAAACTTGTATACGTATCGCACCGAAATAATACAAAAATAATTCTAGGGACGATTTGCTTCTTTGTCCGATAGAATAACATACAGTCAATTTCTCCCATTTTACAGAAATATCAACATATTATACGCAATGCAAATATTAATTTGCGAGAAATGTTTGATTTGGCAATTTCCCTCTAGGTATGCGCCACAGATTGGGTGGGACTCTTCTATAGTTCTCACAAGGCACCGTCTCGATATCCGATTCATTCAAAATATAAAGCAATAAGTTTTACTTTTTTGTTTGATAAATAATTTCAAATGTTTGTACGGTCCCAAAATCTTAGTTCGAATTAGTATAAATCTTACCCATCTGGACAAACTACAGCAGTTGTGTCATTTACGATGAATTCTTTCTGTTGTGTGCTCCATCGTTTGAAAGCTTTCAGTTTTCCCATCCTACTCGTTATTCCTCTAATTGAGCGTCGTTTTCTGGATTTTCCGTCTTTTGGTGAAAAAATAATTTAATTATTAAGATATATAAATAGAGAGACCAAATGATGCATTTTAGAATAAGACTGAATTCAGTGATTCACGCATATAATCGTAGACATACTTATTCTCTTCTTTGTTCCCCATATTTTGTAAAACATCTTTTGTATCAACTTTGACCAAGTCATTTTTTCGACGTCCCAGACCAAGAATATGATTAATGTCAAGTCGCGCCTTATCTCCGTCTCCGGCGGCATTAACCTTTAATCCAAAAATAAAAAAGATAATTACAATTGGCACTGAGATCAGAGAGAATTATATCAAAAACATAGCAAGCCTGGATGGACTTTGATTAGTGACTACGCTCAACTGCGTTGACAAATCCAGGTTGTAAAACAATTTGTAGATTAGCCACATGCACATGAATGACATTTTGATTACAAAATAATCCAAAAAGATACTGTCATATGTATTATAAATAAAAGTGCTATGCGATGGGTATCCTACAAATCACGAGAATGAGTTGCTTGGGAAAACATCTTCTGCGCGTGAGTCTTACTGGGGTTAAAATGCGAGGGACGATTGCTGCAGTATGATTACAACGTAATATAATAAGATTAACAGATTATTTATGGTGGACAATGTACTCAATGTTTAAAGTTACCTTGACGTTGTATCTTCCTTGCAATGTGAATCTAGTAAAATATCCTGAATATATTCCATCATTTGCAATAACATCAGCACCACGACCATCGTCCTTCAATTCAACGGTGGCCGTATCATAACTGCCAGACAGTGATAAAGGCCGAGTCACAACAGCTTCCACTGTTGCATCGAGAACAGCAAACTCACCTGAAAAATAGTGAGAACAATTGAGGCACAAATAAAACTTTGGCGCATGCTTGCTTGGCACAGTACAGTCCGGGGAGTTTTCTAATAAAAGCAATAAGAGTGATAAGAACCGATTCAACAGGTAAAATATTTTGCTCTTTCAGTTTGTGAGTTGATCCACCGATACCAAAACTAATTGTGTAAATGAACAACATATAATTGAAGACAATAGCAAATAACTGACAGCACTAAAAACTGCCAAACTAACTGTTTAGCTGACAGTAGAAAGTAACGGCTACGTCAGCTAATAATGCTACAGGATGGTAGTTTTCGTTTTCGATGAATAAAAAAACAGCATTGCAAACTGACCTCAATAACGTAACATGAAGCAAAAGTTTATTTAAGTACAATTAATTTAATGGATTACCATAACTCAGATGTGCATAAATGACAATGCTTTCGCTTCCACTGTAATTTATTATCCTACAAAGTAATGCTGGTGAGAGAACCAAACTTTCCTGTTCTTCTGCGGGATGGGAGAAAACCGAGATGTCAGCAGTAACACTGTTTTGCAACCTCTGGTTTTTCAACAGAAGCGTCCACGTTCCAGGCTAAAATATAAATATCCGTGCTTCACTATTGTTGCTTTTTTAATGATTGTTTTTGTATTAAATTTTGTTTTGCATTAATTTTTGTCCATGAATATTTTACATGTACATTTGAAAACAAATAATGTATGACTAAAATCATTCTTGTTGTATAGGATTTGTGCTGAGATAGCACAGGCATTAAAATTTCATGCGGTTCAGCACTCAAACACGAAAATTATTAATGAAATGCACTAAACCAATTGAAAACAGTGACCGTGTTTGACATGTGGAATATTTAAAATGCTAGGTATTCCCCACAAAATATATTTCTACTTCCTTTTTGGTAAACTCAAATTTCATCCACAAATTTAATTATCTCTCGACACTGAATAAGTATACTTCGCTCTACGACAGTTTTTTTGGTTATTTTGTTACGGATATACCAAAAAGTAATTGATTGGGAATTTTGCCAGATACTCATTCGTTTTTAGTACAATGATATAAGAGTTGAAATTACTACGTTTATGAATATTATTCGAAGGTTTAGTTAAGTACGTGATTAAGAATTCAATTCGACCAAATTAAATTTATACGAGTGAAGTAAATAGTTTTTTAAAAAAAATTCTGACCAAAATGAGTTTAGTTGCGGTGTAAATGCACAAAACACAACGCTTTCAAAGAATTTTATTTGCACAAGAAAAAAAGGAGTCAAATAACAGGGATTATATAAGGCAGATTTAGCAAAATCTAATTTTTAATAAAATGTTCACTATTATTATTTATTATGTTGACTGAAAACTATATTTTACCTCCATGTATCCAAAGTATTGAATGGTTTTTGTTGAAAAATTTACATCTGAAGAAAACTCAGCTGTAATGTTCGTATCAAACATATCATCGTCTTCCCACATTACATCACCCCAAGGATTTTCCAGTCCGATCTTAAAATATTCATCATTATAATATATAGTAACTTTCTTTTTAGATTAAAAATAATAATTTCTCCTAAATGGTAATAAATAAGTAAAAATATACTTTGGAGAAAGATTGAATTTGAATATTCGTATGCATGCTTAATATCACAGAAACGAATCTTTCCTTTGTCGGACAAAACTGTTAAAATGAACCATGGATAACACTTCGCCCAGAGTGTAATAAATTGGAAAGATAATCCTGAACCGTAAAAATTACGACACTTCAATAAAAAATAGTAGCCTCTTACGTGGCAGTGTCTACTTGCACATGGCCTTGTTCTGGGTGAAACTTGGTATAGAAAGTAGCAAAGACTAGTAATTGTGAAATTCACAATTCATTTTTCATCACCATTTCTACTATTTACCTTAGGTGCTACGGTGTCGGTGTAAAGCACTGTAATCCTAGTTTCTCTTCCGATTGTTTCATCTATAATGAAAGTGTGACCTTCGGACGAATTAGCTTTCAATCGTATCGACTGACTTGAAACAACAACCATGTCATCTGCAAATATATTCTAAAGTTAATTAGATTGAACAACTAAGTTTTTTTTTAACTATTGGTAAATTTAAAATGAATTCAGCTATGAACTGGGACACTAGGTTACTATATACTGCACATTAATATAATATTATTTTACTTTATATAATTAATTTTGAGTTTTTTCACTTGCCATTCTTTTATTTTTTTAATATATCATATATTTTTTTAAAATGCGTCGCCTGTACTCAATATCTTCATATGAATTGATTGTACTAGGATAATCGCTCAAAATCAATCTGCATAAAGAATTTTTGCTGGGAGTTTACCTTCTGGATTGTCAATCGTTGCCAGGAATGCATCACGTAACTCACTATTGTCGCTAAACTCCCCTGAGCTCGCAAAATATGCAGAACCTCCAGTCACTTCGGCTAAAACATCCAAATCGTCTGCTACTTGTGCACCAAAAGCAATTGTTGTAACGCGAACTCCAAAATCAATAACCTGGATTATAAAATTAAATATTTCAAAAACGATGACAATTAGCAGCAGATTTAAAAATTTATTGTACATTAAAGATACATCCTTCGTATTATAAACCATGCAAGAGTTTGTATTTTTCTGTACTAGAAGATAATAATTTTTTTTACTTCCAACAATGTGTCATTGATCTTTGGACTGTTGTGTTCTTTTCCATCACTCAAAACAAGCATACTTCCACCCGATTTTCTCATATGCTTTGGACCAGATGATTTTAAAACTTGCAGTGCAAGTTTAATACCGCTACCAATACTGGTCCCTGCAAGTAAATAATGTTTTATTTTAGAATTAGAGTCTCTTCAAACACTTTGGTAATTCCAGTATTCACTTAGCGCCTATTCGTTTTAGTAATGAATGTCTTTTCGCAATCGTAATGCGTTTTTACTAATTTCAGTGTTGTTAAATATCGCGATTCTAAATTTTTTTTGCCCCTAACAAGAGATATTTGCCGTCGTAGATTTTAAATTAGATATTATAAAAGAATTACTTTCATTTCATTATTTCAATTTCATTACTTTTGGTACGGAGATTGGAACTGTTATGAATACATTTATAACATTCTACAGGGGAAATGATTGAAATTTTTTAGACAATAAATGTAGAACAATGATACACTCATAAATGCATCAACCACATACTGGAGAAATAAATTTAAAAAATATCTAATCGCGCATACTCACCGGGGACAAGAAAATTGGGAAGACGTTCTTTTAATAACCTTCTCACGTCGTTTGATGAAACTCTGATGAGTTCTGACATCACCGTTCCTTCTCTGAAAGAGATAATTTGATATTGTTTGAAGTGTACTTTATAAAGGATATACCTTTCGAATGGCATACTATATTGAAAATTTGTTGTTGATTATTATTTCATTACTAACTTACGCTGCAAATGTAACAATCCCGATCCAAGAGTTTTCCGGTACGGTATCAATGAATTGACTTGCTGCTTGTCTCATTAATTTCATTCGATTGAAAAACTTCATACTAGACGAAATGTCGAGAACGAGAACAATCCTCCTAGAAATGACACAAAAAACCATAATTAAAATACCGGATACTAACAGTTTTTACTTTACATAAACGTGAGTATATACGTTTTTATATTGCTGATCATCATAATACGTTTAGAATTGGTGTATAAATAAATTGTTGGCAGAATACATTTTATTAATTAACTTTAGATAAATAAACTTATTTTATCTGTATGGTCGAAACTTTCTGACATTTATTCGAATTTATGTTACAGTTAGTTTAATTTAAAAAAATTTAAATTAACATCGAGCAAATAAGTTTCCCACCAATACAAATCAAAATCAGGCAGCCATACGTCTATAGTTTGAAATATAAATTTGAACATTTATAGTAAATAGGCACGAATTGCTTTTGATGAAGTAACCCGTACAGCCCAACGCGCTTTGAGAAATATTTGTATTGTCTGTGTTAGTTTTCAATTTGGATTCAAAATGAGACCAAAGCAGAACTCCGTGGTATTTTTGAATTTTTTATTTCAGTACCTGTCCGGATTTTTTAATAGGCTGAATTCAATCGGTGGAGGAATAGAACTTTCTGGAAGTGGGGGGTTATTTCCGTTCGCAAAGTCTGGATGAGTTCTTATTACTTCCCATACACTTTTTCCTGTAAAAAGCATAAATTGATAAAAAAAAATTAGCAGACTGTTGGTTCGGATCAGCTTTTACTACGACTCAGGAACGCTTCAAGAAAGCTGATAAGTTCCAATTTCCATCAGGAGGGTTTGAAGAAAATTCGGTTTGAACTCTATCAGGAACAAATTGACGCACACTAAACCAAACACCAGGTCCGTTGCATAGGCGAAATAAAACAAAGTATCTTAGCCTACCTTGACAATGCAAATTATGTAACGTGGGTGCTTCTGCATTATGCTGTTGTTCTTCGGGCACTTCTTGTTCTGATTCTTCTACAGTGTCACAGAAATGATCGACGTAACTCAAATCAGGACTGAAATAGAAAATATATATCGTATCGACTAAACGCATTATATTATTTACGACGTTTCATACGCCTGTCACCCCAAACAAGCCCTTTTTAAAAGCATCGAATGCTGGTGCTTAATTTATTACACCACTGGACGATAACGTGGGCATGGGAATTGAACTTAGAACCTGCGATGTCAACAAAGTCTATATCAGTGCCATACTAGGCCAACTCATGCACTGTAAACAAAATTTTGTGTGAAATGTGAAATTCACACAAAATAATACTTATGGTATCAACATTTGCGCAGTTACACATCCTGATTTACCGAGAAAATAGTTGAGATAACATTATTGCATAATGTAGTCATTACGATTTAATATCGACTTTTATTTAGTACACTTCCCACGCAGTTATATTTCTTGTACCTGTACATTAATGAGGCGAATCCTGTAATTCCGACGGTTTCATCAAAAGAAGTTTTTCTGGAAGTTACAGTCTTCGACGGCGTAGAGTCAGGCTTAAATGTACAATTCTTGTTTACAAGAGCTTCCTCTTTACTACACGGTACTTCCGGATTGTCCGATTTTATTATTTTACCTGAAACGTAATTAAATATTAATTTCTTTCGCACAGAAATATGTTGTCGGGTCCATATCTTAAAAGTCTGATGTCGTTTTCGTTAAATTGCAACATGGAACAAACGCTAAAATATTTATGCCAGCTGGCAATTTTTCATTTTGAAACATAAAAAACTAATTTTCGTTTTGAGGTAAACTAGTGAAACCATTATATGTATTACTTTTCTAAAATATCTTCCAAACTGAAATGATTAATATTTTTAAATTCATTAGATTAAAAATAAATTTGTAATCATTAGAAACGAGTTATTGAACGTTTATAATGAGTTTTAACCCGGAAATTAAGTATATTGCTTATTGAAAATATTCTTCAAAATTGTTTTCCTTATATAATAATAAGTTACCCGACTACATTGCAGTGAAGTGCTTTAATAATTAAAATAA